CCCCCCCGCCGTAGCACTGCGTGCGCACCGTTGGTCTTTCCACAGGGAAGACGTGCAAAAACATCATTTATACCTCAAACTCGACCCGAGAGGCGCCGACGGATTGCTAATGCATGCTAGCGCAGCACCAGGCCCCATCAGAGCGCAAGAGGGATGGCTCCGTGCTGCCCCATCAGAGCGCAAGAGGGATGGCTCCCAGTCTGCGCAGGCCTCCCCCCTCTCCCCACCCGGGACAGCCCCAGCCACGGGCAGGGAGACGAGCACTGCTCAAGGTCTTTAGCACTTCAAGGTAAAGCGGGCAGGCCGGCCTCCAGGAGCAGTGCTTCCCTCAGACGATCACAGTCTTCCAGCAAGGTACTGGAGAAAACAAGCTTAGCTTATTAGGAGGTGCTAATTACATTAACCACTTTACTTTCCATTTAGGTTTTAAATTACATAAGACCTACCCTGACTGTAGCTGTTAGGTTTCAGGCACAGTTAAAACACTCAGAACAAATACTGTGGTTTTTTACATGCACATAGCAGGTACGGGAGCCCTCAGACAAAAGAACACTGAGCAAGTCCTGCATGCTGTAACACTGAGTTTCCAGCCCTGCCCTTCCCAGAAAATACAGCCATGGTTTATGAAATTTGCAAGCCAATTTTACACACCAAGCCAAAACTCAGTTAAAGCCTCCGCTTAGACCATGCCCTCCCAAACGTGAAGTGCCTAGACCAGGATTTGCAGTCTGCTATGGGGAGTTAATTGAGGACCACACATTTTAATAGGGGGAACAGAATCTCCCTGTGCCAGTTTAGAAAGACTGGGGAGGAGGAAAGGTTTTGATCTATGTCATGGTGCAATTTTCAATGAAGAGCTTTTCTCTACTGAGCTTTCACGTTAAAGTTTAAGAAACACTGTAAGGCAGGAGCTTTTTTTCCTTCTACTCCAACAGCTTTTGGCCCCCAGGGTTCTTGGCTTGTGAACAGCACTTTTTGCAATGCTAATAGAAGTTATTAATGTGAAGGGCCATGAAGAAAGGAGGATGCAGAAGGGAAATAGAAGAATTCACCATCTTTTTCCTCTCGCCCCCAGTATGTCTTTGAAGTCCTTCTTAGCACAGAAGAAAGGAGTAAAGAAGCAGTCCAAATCATGTATGAGGCATATGCAGCAGATGTAATGCCTATAAATAAAGTGCAAGTGCTCTCACTGTAGACACCCATTTGCAAATAGCTCCCACATTCTTTTCCAAGCTGCTACTCCCAACTTACCCCCCACTTAACATGAATCATTGCCAGGCCCACCTATGGCGCAAATCAATACACAATGTTTCTCCCTTATCCCTTCCAACCTTCCCTTCTGCTTTACCCTCATTAGTGCTAGATGCTTCGGCTGTAGTATTTACTGTGCCTGATAAAGTAAGTCCAACTTGAGAAACAAGAGACTGAAGCAGATGTCTCAGAACAAGGGCTTCAGTGAAAGTCGGAATTGCTCTCAAAGTAAGTCCTCTGGGCACATGCTTTAAATTCAAAGAGAGCAGAACAGTCTTATGAGTTGAAGCTAAAGTAGTACATCACTATCATAAAAACAGCGCATTAGTTTTAAAGTCAGAATTGCAGGCAGTCACTGGTAAAGTAAGAGAAACATTTGATCCTTCTGCATTTATGCATTTGCTCTGCTTGTATGCATGCAAGAGAGCAAGTGTCTACCATTGGGCATCAAGTATGGTTAATGGCATCAGTTCCAGAAGGGCAATCTAGAAAATACAGGAAGCAAGAAGGTTAAGCCAAATGCATTGGACAGTTAAAGGGATTCCACAAAATAGTGACCTCCTGTAAACAGCCTACAGTGTGTCACGGACGAGAAAGGAAAGCAGACAGCAAGCCTTTGGGCACAAGCGAGTCTCTGCACTAAGGTACGCACATACGTTTGTTAACCTGGAAGTGACCAAGCATGCTCAGTACCAACGGGCTTCTTGGAAAGTGTTATTTGCAAAACTTTGGCAAATCCAGGCAGGTGAAAAAAAACTCATTTAGTGGCTTACAACTTGAACAGAAGACAATGTTAGGTTTCTGTTGTTTTCATGGAGCACTAGGTGCTCATCTGTAATGCACTCTTTCTGGCAGAGAAGTTTTAACCATTGTTATTTTTATAGACCACATTAGCTGCCAATATGAAATACCTTATCTCTATCTGGTGTCAAGTCCCGCACTAAGATTTGTTAACTGCTCGATTACATAAGAGAAGCTGTACCTGACGACAGAACCCAGCCTTACCCCAACATTGGCTCAGTAGATTGGCAGCTGACCCAGACAAGGCATGGTAGTGGTTTTGGTTGTTTTCAAGTCATGATGCAGATGTCCTTAGCAAGCGGACAGAGGACCGCAAGTAAAGAGGAAAGTAAGACATACAGACAGATCTGGTTTAACAGACTCCAGTTACTATTTATCAATTATTTTCTCTATAGATCTGTTCAATAAAACAAACTATACTTTGCATAATAGATTACTTCATTGCAGGTATTGCACAGGCTATATTCATCTGGGCACTATGGAAACAAGATAGCAGGAGGTTACTGTCTTTTTTTTTTTTTAAATATATCATTTAGCACAATTAGACCCAGCACAAGAGAATACTAACCATTTAAAATGGGTAATCTCATTTAAATATCCACAGCCATCTCATTTCAGCTCTACTGATTAGAGAATCCAGAGCATTAGTACTGGACAGGGCATAAGGAAGGCTTCCTCTCTGCAACACGCTCCCCTTGGCTACTGGCCTCCAAAGGCATTCAGCGGGTCATCAAATGTGCTCAGTGTCTTGCTTTCAGATTTTGCTTCTGAAGCTGCTTGGGCAGATCTGCTTTTGGGAGTGGGTATCTTGACTTGACTGCTAGAGAAGATATCATCTAAAGGGGGGGGAAAAAAAAAAGCCACAGATAGATTTTAATGTGAAGTGACCGCCAAACAGAAGTAACATGTACATAAGAGTCTCCAGCACACAGCAGTGACTGCCAAGGACATTCTGTGATAAACAAATGCTTTCCTGCTGCTTGCGATTCTAGATGCATTTATAAGGACATACGTGGGAGCTGTTAGCTGTAAGTCAAATTAAGAATATTTTTTCTTCTCACTAGAGCAGAATAATACTTGTATTTTATAACATGTTCAAGCTCTCATAAGCATTTGAGAAGTACTAATAAATCAAACCTCCACAATGAATTCCATCTTGCAAGTGCCAGATAACATCCCTCTTATCTAGAACATTAGTGTCTGAGGAACCTGAGAGATCCAAGAGCTGTGAGACTGTTGCCAAAGAAAATCAGAAGAGGAAAAGATGGTACTTGCTAGTGACTACTGTTGCGATATCCAGGAGCCATACAAGAGTCTTTAATCTACAGCACAGTAAGAACACAGCATAAATCACTTGAGAACAGAGCACAGTTAAGATGCAAGGAGGCAGACAGCTACAGCTACCATCCTGCTGAATATTCAAAAAGTCTGTCTACAGTCCTGAATCAACATCTCCCACCACCTTTTCCTCAATACAAGCATTTCTGTTACAAATAACTAGGACCACGAAATGGAAAAATATCACGTTGCTATTAAGACAGAGCTCTCTCCTGAAGGATAGCAACAG